TTCTTCTCCCTTTCTTTCCCCCCCTCCCCCTTGACTCTTCTCACCTATGTAATTCTAATTTGTCAAGGTGTACAATAACACAACCACAACCCTCCACATACCACGTCAACTCCCTTCTCAACCCACCCAACAATATATGTAAATGGACTGCCCATGAACTTTCATTTGGCCCTTTATTACAAAGGAACTCTAATACCTTTGTCAAACAGAAATGATTGAATTATTCATGTTGATCTATTTGAAAATTAATAGTTTTCAATTTGAAAATTTATAAATTGATGATTTTCAATTGCGGTTTTGAAAAAGTGACGAAATATACCTCATAGGAAATCCAGTCTTTTTGTACTTGAGGTTAAAGTTGTGAATCTGGCAAATTACTCTTGAAATTGAGACTCATTTGAAATTTGGTCGACAGTCACTTGTTCATCCATGTACAACCCCATTCGGCTGGGTTTGATTTCAATTTCCCAATCATTTCTGGGATTTACAAACTCTTTCAAATAAAAGGCTTCCTTTACCATCTGTCGGCTTTCACTTTTCGTAATTTATACACTAAAGGTTGTCCACTATAAATTGACACTTTTTAAACAGCTTATAAAATAGCAAATCCACCAATATGAAAAATCTGCAATGATCAGCCACCTGTGCCCTGGTAACAAATTAGTTGCAGTGTTTTGAAGAATATTCATCATAAAGAAGATTAAGGACATGAAAGAGGAGTGGATGAAAATGCTTTTTGTTAGGTTCTACATGAAAAACTACCATGCCAATTATAATTCATATTTTCCCCTGATGCCTTACTGGAAACAATATTTTTTTACATGGACAGAGACTGCCTTAAAAGCTAGTGTTTCTCATGAAATTTGTCCTTAGTCAAAATCCAATTACCCAGCGTAAATCTAAAACTGATGAGTAAGAGCGTTTTTTCTAAAGTCTCAATTTATAGTGAACACCTTATGATATATTCACTAATTACATTGACTACATTTATTCTGGATTTATTTTTATCCTTGTGCATATATTACATATAAGTATATATGTTAATTTCACTATAATAAAAGAGAAAAAATTCTTACTTTTTAAAATTTAATTCTTAATAATCTTGATCTTTAAATTTTTATTTTTTAATTAATCACAATAACCCCCCCCCCCCATATACGCCACTGGTCGAGTCATTTAAAAAATACATTGAAAAGATTGTCTTCAAGTTTTAAACATTTAAATTTTTGGAGGGTAGAGATATTGAAGTCTGAAGTTTAGATTAAATGATCATGAAAGAGTACATTGAAATAATTTAATGAAATAATGAAAATTATAAAATTTCCTAAACAACTTTTTTTTAAATTATATAGATATAGTAGTTGTAGATAGGGGTGAAATATAAAGATGGAATTGCACTTTTTGGTCACATAGTTTAAATATTTTGTATCAGTTGTCCATGGGATTAAAGTATTCCAAAATGGAAGCCAGAATATTGTTCTTATGAATTTTTCTAGATAAAAATAAATTTTAAAGAATTTAGATAAAATGGTTATAATATTATATATATCAAAGTGAGATTATTAGGGGAAACCCTGTTATATGAATAAACGAAAATTTAAATATCATCCTTTAAAAGATGGGGAGGGGGATGCGGGACATATTTAAGCCTACAAGGTCTTCTTAAACACCTGTCTGTAAATATACTTAATCATACAAATAAATCCCAAGTCAGTCAAGCCTGGATAAATTAAACAGAGGATTAAACTTTTGATTGCAACAGAGCTTAACCACATCGACTTAACCCTATCACAATTTGATTTTTCTCCACAACTTTTAAAGTCTTATACCAGAATGCTCAAACTTCTTCTCTTATAAAAATTCACAGATGTGAAAGAAATTAGCAAAAAAAAATGTGATGCTAAAGGTAGGGTGGAGGAAATCTTTAAGAAATTATTTAAATGGATTGCTGAGCTCAAGGGTTTGAATTAAACCACAAAGGAAGAAGAATGGACTGGGCAGCAAGTTCTAAACAGATTTAGAGTTCAAAAAATTTGACCTCATAACTAAAATAATTATCAATAAGAAAAAAATATGAATTAGTAAATCTTCATAAGTCTTTTTTTAAATACCTTAGTGGAAAATTGAGTATTACAAGAAGTTTCTTTTACTATTAAAGGGACTGTACATGTAATTTCAACGGAGACCCTCAGTTATTGAGTAGCATGTCCGATTGACAATGGTTTCCTTCAGGCTTCTTTCATCTGTTAAAAAGGGTTTGTGGAGTTATGTTGGAGACAAGGAAATCAACAGAATTCGATATATTTTTGCGGTTGAAAGACGACTAGATCTTACTCATTATAGAGGTAATTAAGGGTTCCGTTGTGAATCGAACATTCAACTCTTTATATAAAGGATCACTTAAAAATATGTGAACAATCTCTTTAACTAAACAATTTAGTTTTACAAAAAGTTTCTGGAAATATTAACAATTTATACCATCAAATAGTTGAAAGTTTTCTACAATTGGTTCGTTTAGTTGGTTATTTTTTATCCAATAAATGTTAAAACGGTGGAATTCATATCGGGGTAAAAAGTTGACCCCGTATAAAAGGTTTTTTTAACAATTTATTTATTCTTTTTTTCCAGATTTTTTATAAAACTTTATTAATACATTTATTTAATGCAGAATGCAGATAATCATTTTTCCAATCTTTTTGTTTTCTGGTTGTCCTATTTTGCTGCGTTCAATTATTTGTACCCCCCCTGTNCCAGTTCTGTTTGATTTCTACCAAGGGTGTAATGCAAGGAAAGTTAATTGCGGTCGTGTATACTCTGCGTACACATTGAAACCAGTTCTCTTTGGGCGGAATTTGTAAACAAGAATAGATGCATCAGTGTACGTTTAGTATCCGAGGAGGTTAAAAGCATTAAATTTTGATAATTTTGATAATTCACATAATATTTCCCTGTGACCAGAATATTTCATTGATTATTTATGTGAAAGATGGATCCCATGTCAGGCTTTGACATCTGTCTTGAGTTTACATTACCGCCCAGAGACAATACACTGCAGTACAAAAGATGTGTACACTGCCTTGCATTACATCCTTGGATTTCCACTAAATCTCTGTATAGTCAAATAAACTTGAAATGTGCCATGTATGCAGGTTCCCGTAAATGGTCGACCATCATTTAAGTTTAAGGCACCCAAAATACCCAAAATGACAATATCAATTTTGTTCATGCTTTCAATGATATAAAGTCAAACAAACGATTTTTTTAATTTTGGAAATCAAACAAAAAATCTGCGAAATTTATAGTTGTCCTCACTTTTATTCTAACTTCGTGATTTCCTGATTATTAACATGTCGTAGAGTATCCATTGTTATGGGTCATACCTATTCTGTAGGTGAAAGGGGGGGGGCTAGATCTGCTAAAGATGAGTGTGTGTTGGGGGGGGGGTACATGAGCAAGAAAGTGAGGTTAATGTGAATAAAAGGGTTGAACAACTGAGAAAGCGTGTTAAATGAGGCCAACATATATTCCTTCTTGGTTTGGTTTGGTTGGTTTGTTAAAGGAACTGTAATTCTTAATATGTGATGGACACAGCATGGACATTGGACAGTCTGATTTTACAATGGTAACCTTTAAATATTCGTATGATAATATCCATAATATTCTTTTTCAAAATTAATTAATTACAATTGTAGTTTCTCTGTAAAATGACTTGCGCATTTCTGCTTCGGGCGCAAAGGAGAACATTGTAAGAATTAAGAAATTTTGAAGCTAGAAAGATGACGATAATTGACATCTTATTGATCAGGTTTAAAGCGTACCCTTGTGAATCGGGCATTAACATAGTTCCTTTAAAAAAAAATGTTGTTTCTCTGTAAATTAAAGATTTGAGACTGGAACCGGACAGAAAAGGAATGAAGAGAGGTGTTGTTTCAATATTATTTAAGTGTTCTAAACAAACAATGCATAAAAGCATATATTCTGTTTCTAAATATAGATAATACAATAAAAATATATATTTAGTAATATTTATTCAGATATTTTTTAACATCTGCATATTATTATTTACACACATTCTATTATCATATATATATAAAATAATGACACACGGGCAGCCGTAGTACATTTGAATTTCCGAGCCGGGTCAGCCTTTCCGCTTCCAGTGTGTACTGTGCCTAGCTCTATGGACAGGACTAGCCAGTGCAACAAGGTTGACGCGGTCAGACTTTATGCTTCATATAGGCTGAGTGTACTTTACTAAAGGGGCAGATTTGCGTGACTTGATAAAACGCAAAATTATCAACTACGTTTTTAAGTGTAATTAAGCCTATACAATTTTACAGGGAAATTGATGAATTCCTGCGTAAGGATTTATCATATTTTGTGATATTTATATTTGTCAATAATTATGAAATCTTCATGAATAAAATATTTGATTTGATTTAATGATATCTTTAAATAATCAAAGATGAACTTGAAGAGATCATTTTTGAAGAAAATAATATTAAAACTGTTTGTAATTTGTTCTCTCTTCCTTTTCCGCGCCTTTTTATGAAATTGTAGACCCTCCATTTGAAAAGGGTCCTTCCCGATTCTCAACTGCAGTCTACAATACCATTTGAACCTTTATCTGATTAATAAAGTGGAAGATATAGTCGTTTTGATAGCTTGAAAACTGCTGGGTTCTTCAAATTTCCCCAACTTTTTCTGCACTATAGAAATCCACTTGTTAATTTTTTTATAAAGAAACTACAGTTAAAAGTAATTATAAAGGTTTAAATAAAAGGTATTGTTGTAAATCTGACGCCATTCATGAAGGAAGGGAGTTTTTATGAATTTATATTTTTAAATATTTTATTTCAGATTGATAAGTTCCCGATCCTGTGGCTGGATAAGTAAAAATATCAAGAAAAAATTTCCAAATATTCAAAGTTCAGCAGTTTTCACAGATACAAGAGGTAATTATAGGGGACCCACCTCTATATATTGTAGGGAACCCAACTGCATATATTGTAGGGAACCCAACTGTATATATTGTAGGGACCCAACTGTATTTATTGTAGGGACCCAACTGTATTTATTGTAGGGAAACAACTGTATTTATTGTAGGGACCCACCTGTATTTATTATAGGGACCCAACTGTATATATTGTAGGGACCCAACTGTATTTATTGTAGGGACTCAACTGTATATATTGTAGGGACCCGCTTGTATTTATTGTAGGGACCCAACGTATTTATTTTAGGGAACCAACTGTATATATTGTAGGGACCCAACTGTATTTATAGAAGGGACCCAACTGTATTTATTGTAGGGTCCCAACTGTATTTATTGTAGGGAACCAACTGTATTTATTGTAAGGACCCACCTATATTTATTATAGGGACCCAACTGTATTTATTGTAGGGAACCAACTGTATATATTGTAGGGACCCACCTGTATTTATTATAGGGACCCAACTGTATATATTGTAGGGACCCAACTTTATATATTGTAAGGACCAACCTGTATTTATTATAGGGACCCAACTGTATATATTGTAGGGACCCAACTGTATATATTGTAAGGACCAACCTGTATTTATTATAGGGACCCAACAGTATATATTGTAGGGACCCAACTATATTTATTGTAGGGACCCACCTCTATTTATTATAGGGACCCAACTGTATATACTGTATGGACCCAACTGTATATATTGTAGGGACCCACCTGTATTTATTGTAGGGAACCCAACTGTTTATTTTGTAAGGAACCCAAATGTTTATATTGAAGGTGACCCAACTGTATTCATTGTAGGGAACCCAATTGTTTATATTGGAACTGTAAGGAACCCAACTGTTTATATTGTAGGGACCCACCTATATTTATTGTAGGGAACCCAACTGTTTACATTGTAGTGACCCACCTGTATTTATTGTAGTGAACCACCTGTATATATTACAGGGAACCCAACTGTTTATATTGTAGAGAACCCAACTGTATATATTGTAAGGAACCCAACTGTTTATATTGTAGGTGACCCAACTGTAGTGACTGTAAGAGAGCACTGTGAAACTGTTCTTGAAGCTTTGCTCGGAAGTTCTTTAGATTCTCAAGATACAAGGGAAACTTAATCATCCATCCTATCAAACAAAAGTATTTTTTCAGATTAATTTTTCCATTCAAAAATTTCAGAAAAGAAATATTTTTCAATTTTATCTTGAGACTGAGAAAATAAATCAGAATATTTACGGATATTTTTTTCTTTTAAATCAAAAACAATATAAAAAATGTAAGAAGGCTCCTGGCTCCAAGAAATTTCAGCACTTTTTTTATAAAAACAAGTATTAGGTCTGCATTTTAGTTTAGTTCCCCCCCCCCCCTGAACATTGGAAAAGAGAAGATTTTAGGTCAAAAACAGGGAGAAATAGTTTTAGGGTTTCATTATGAAAAATGCTTCACCATTTACATTTTTACAAAAATGATCTAGTCCTTGATTTAGTCCAAGTGGAGGTCTTCTCCACCCAGTCCATGGACCCAAACTATCCAGTATTCTGGCAGCTTTCAACTCAGCGCTCAGGGGGGTCATTCAGAGTAAGTTTTTTTTATCACCAATCTAACATTTTGAGGGGGGGGTATATCCGTCTGATAATCAAAACAGGATTTTAAATTATGTTTGTTTTTGCTTAAAACTGGGAAAAAATATTAATCAATTTAATTAAAATTGGATTGTAATTACACAATTAAATTATTAAAATTTACGAGATTAATTTCCTGTACACTGGATTATAATTTGAAGAAAATGAAAGTGAAATCTTTAGTTTTACCCACGCTACCCCCCCCCCTTCTTCCCCTCGTTTATTACATTCTTCCCACTGTGGACCATGGCATTTCTATCCCCTCCCCTTTGTACCGGAACTGTCTGCCCACCCCCCCTACGCCGGAAATGTCCTAAACTTTTTGAATGAATTGCCTCGGTTCTATTAGATACTGATTACTCTCAATTCTCAATTCAGAAATATCAATTTTTTTTCAATTCAGAATTCAGAGAAATTTAATTTTGCTGACTTGGTTTTAAAGAAATAATTTTATTATTTTTTCATTTCAATGGGTTTTCTTATTTTCTACTTTAAAAAAGAGTGTAAAAAAGAGCAAGGAATCGTCTGGAACAGCTTTAAATATAGAGAAATGATATAAAATAAACGTTATTGACCAGATTTTTTCCCGATACTTAGTTATAATTATACTGGACGGGTATTTGCTGCTTTACCAACAATTCACAAAGGAACTGTGAACTTTTTTTGTCAAAATATTAAAAAAGCCATTAAAGACTCATGTATTAGAGGCAGAAGACTTAATTTAACCTTCAAGTCGTCCTATTTTGAGAGTTTCAGGTCGTCTTTTCAGTCTCATTCTTAATGGGTAACCCTGAATATAAATGGAATTTTTAAACGTGCCAATGTACATAATATTGATTGTTGAGAAAAGAGCTAAGCCCGCAATTTAAAAGAGTATCGTTGAACGAAACCCTCGAGTCGAGTCTTAACATTGTGTAGATTTTGATTTAAGAGATTCGATAAAAATGGAGAATATGAAGAAAATAAAAAAAATAATATTTCATAACAAAAATATTGATATCCACAAAACTGCCTAACCCCATTCGTAAAACCCGAATTTTAACACTGGTTTTCATTAATTCATTTCACCCGCGGGAACTTTTAACTGTACAGAAATATCTAGTTAAATTAATTTATTTTAACCCTGGTTTAATAACTGTTGAACTGTTCGTATCTGTTTTGATCGTTTTACATGAAGTGATGTGCCTTTAGTTGGGTCGTTTTTTAGCCGTTTTTGGATTGTTAATTGGGTTGTTTTTTGGGTTGTTTTTTGAATCGTTCTTTGGATCGTTTTTGGTCGTTTTTTGTCGCTTTTTTGATCGTTTTTTCTTTTTTTTCTTTCAAGGTCAAAATTTTTTATTTTGTATGCTAAACATTTGTTTTTCTCACAAAAAAAAATTGAGTTCTTGCCACAAACTCCGATTTTCCAATCCCTATATCTTTGCAACCTAATGAATTCTGCGAGATCAAATAGTCTAACTTTGAATTGTCAAAGGTTGCAAAGAAAAAGAGATTCGAAAATTAGAATTTTTAGCAGAAACTATGCAAAAACGAACATGGTGTAATGCAAAAACGAACATGTTGTAATGCAAAAACGAACATGTTGTAATGCAAAAACGAACATGTTGTAATGCAAAAACGAACATGTTGTAATGATCGTTTTTATATTTCTTCAGTATAAAGATTGCTAAGTTTAACAAAAGCAATAATATAGATTTAAAATATTGGAAGTTTTATTAAATTTGTTTTACTATGTTCAATGTAAATGTACACAAATAATGACTTTAGCGCACTTAAATAGTCAATTATCTAAAAGTTTTCTTTTTACGTTTTCTACATATTTTCTCCGGCAGAACTTTTTTATTTTTTATTTAGATGAACATATTGAAGACAGCATTAGTCCTAGTAGTATACATATAGAGCTCAGTAGATACATGGACCAGATTAAGCAGGTATATTATATACTATAAAAGTAAAAATTCAAAGGAATTGAGTTTTTGCCACAAACTCAGATTTTCTAATTCCTATAACTTAGCAAACCGTTTTCCTAGACCTTTGATATTTCAAACTATTAATTCTGGTAGATCAAATAGTCTAAGTTTGAAATAACAAAGGTTTACACTTAAGTACAAACATAAACTTAAACATAGACTTAAACATAAACTTAAACATAATCTTTTTTAAAATCTAGATATTTATTTACGTATCATTATAGTTTACAAGATTGTTGATATGGATTTAACACAAAACTTTCTTACGATATTTTCATGTACATTCAATTATAAATCAAATAAGTGCGAGATTTAATTTTAACAGATACATTTATTTTCGTTTTTTCAAGTCTGGATTGCTGGTAAATTTATATTCAAGTATTGATAAAGCAGCAGTTCGAGAGAAAAAAAAACTATATTATATATTAAAGGATAGCATACTTTTATGAAATCTGACTGGGAGATACTACAAACACAGTGCGTGTTATCTCTTATTGGAAAATGCTACAATTAACAGTGTGTATGCTTTCACATAAACATACACGGGAGCGAGTTTTCATTTTTACATAAAAGAAAATTATTGTGAGCTTCATAACGAGGAACATTGACCGTTCCTCGTTAATATTGAGGCTACATTTTAAGCGAACATATGTTAATTCGTTAATATTGAGGCTTCATAAACAAGGTGAAAGAAGGAACAAATTAATTAGAAGTATACGAAGGAACATAATAATTAAGAAATGTACTAAATGCGAAAATTGATGGTTCGTCTTTAGTAATATTGAGGCTTCATTAGAAAGGTGTCCGAAGGAACGTAATAATTAAGAAATATACTAAATACGAACATTGAAGTTTCATCGTTAGTATCTTTTAAACATAATCTTAAATATAATCTTAAATATAATCTTAAATATAAACTTAAACATAATCTTAAACATAAACTTAAACATAATCTTAAATATAAACTTAAATATAATCTTAAACATAAACTTAAACATAATCTT